TCCATGGAGACTTTGGTATTTTATGACTGAAGCCCACAAACAGTTATCATTTTCCAAAATAAAGGATTAGTATTATCCGGCGACACAGCAGGAGGTGCTTTCTGCAAGGTGCAGAGTCAAGTACAGAGAGAAGTAAGCAAATCTGTCTAATCTCTGTAAGTCAACTGTGACAAAATGCCCCTGAACCTTGGCAGCACGCAGGGCCAAGATATTTGGGCAAATGGCTCCTCCGGCTGGCGTTGTGGCTCGGGCGGCACACTAACCCAAAGGATCCTGTTTGCAGTTTAGTGTCAAGGCCCTCCTGGCAGATCCATTAGTCCTGGCTGATGGAACAAGAGGGGGGGGAGAAAGGATTTTTTCTCCCCATATATTTCCCTCTCTGTCACTGTAGCCACAGAATGGAAGGCTTGTCACTTAAATTTACCAATCATTCTCTGAGACGGTATTAGAAAGCGAGGAAGAAAAACAGCTGTAGCCGAGGCCATCAAGACTAATGTAAAATGCAAGTATTTTTGAGCATTTTAAACTTTATTATGACTAGACAGTAGAGAGCTGACACAAAAATGATGGGAGAAACAGGGGGGTGTGATTCCAGATGTCTCCATGCGGACACTGCGATTACATGGTCACGATCCTAGACATCTAAACAACCAGGGCAACCCAGAGCTACAACATTTAATGTACAAAAAGTGTATGCACCTATTAGGGCCGCATTATATATAGACAAAATTTCATACCTTCATATTTATGAAAAATATCTTGATAATGATACAATATACAACATGACTGTGGGTTCACACTTGTTTGAAAGTTTAAGTGTAGCACCAGTGAAAATTAAGCTTTTTTTTAAATTTTCAAATAATAATACCAAAAGGACGTAGAAGATGCTGCTACTTCACAAAATTTTGAAAATGAAATAATTTGAATTAAATCTGGGACCTTGTCTTTCTCTGCACACATTTCCTCCACTGCTCAATTCCCACTGTCTCCTCCTCACTCACTCACGTGTTGGGAGGGTTCACTTTTGGATTACTTAAACACTGTCTTACATTTTATGCAATTGAATGTGGCATTCATACAATACTGCTTATTCAAGTACTTATTCAGTTCTTCTGTATCAACTGTCTGAGCCCAGTCGAGTCACCCTGAATGTAAATTAACACTCGCTGTAGAGGTGCAGCTTAAGACAGCAGATTTACTTTTTTTTCCTTAAAATTAGGTTTTAAAAAATGAGGGTTGTCTTATGGTCTTATGTTTCAGCACCAGACAATTACATGTTCATTCATTACAACAGAGAGAGTACCAGTGTAACCATGGTCTTTTACAGAGTGTTGCATTATGGGTTTTTTTGTAGCCTTAATGTTGCTAGGCTAGCGAGTGTTTTCAAGTCCATCTATAGTGATTCTCTCAGAGTTAATCAAGCTTTCATTAGTTTAACCTGCAGGAGTTTCTGATAGCTGCTGTGACATGTTCTGTTGCAACAGAGGAAATAAATTCATGACGGGTTGAAAAAGAGTTCACAGCGTCTCCTGACGTCTTTACAGCAGAAATAAACCAGAGAGAAAATCTGTCAAACAGCCAAGAGTTACATCTGTCACAGGTGATGAGCTCAGAAACACAGAAGTATGACGAATGTTAATGTCAGAGAAAACAATCATGCGAGAGGAATGGAGGGTGAGTGAGGAATCAGCTACAGTCAGCTGACTAGCGGTCACAGAGAAAGTGAGCTGTCCAACTGAACAAAAATTCAGTTATATTGTCAGATGAGAGGATGGGAAAAGCGTGAGAGATGTGATATCGCGGGTATTGCTGCCTTTTGCGATATCAATATTACACATGTTCTTATTTAGAGATGATAATGATGTAGCGTTCAGCCCTAGCACCTGTCACTGTCCGTGCTCACAGGTAAAGCATGAAGTATGCTTAACATTATCCACTTTGCACAACTTGTAAAGGCGTTTACAGCTGTTTCAAACGGCCACACTGGAAGGCGGGACCCTCTGTCGTAGGGAGGGGTGACACACAGTAATTATACTAATGGGTATACCGGCCCACACTCTTCAACAATCTTCACTCAAAGACATCCATGCTGTTGCACTAAAGGTAGCAATGTGTAAAAATATGTAGAGTAGACCGCTCGCTCATTCTAATGGAGGCAGTTCATCAGTTCAACGATTAACACAATGCCGAGGGCTCCAACAGAAAACACAAGGTTTCTGCTAAATAAGTTGAACCGAGGTCAACCTTTGCTGCAACACTCCACAGACCTGACTGATAACTGCGTGAAGTGGGTGTGAATGTCAGATTGTTGGTTTTGGGGAGTGACAGCAGTTGTCGGTCACTGCCAGAAAGGTGTGTGTGTGTGTGTGTGTGTGTGTGTGTGTGTGTGTGTGTGTAGACTCTAAGTATTCTGACAATCGTTTTTATCTTATCTAAATGTTTGCTACTTGTTCTGCACACCACATGTGATTGCGTAAGGGAGGCAATCCAGATTTTTTTTATCAGAGAAAGAAAAGTGAATATGCCTTTAAAAACCTGGAGTACAAACTGTATTGCTCCACGTGCTCAACTTGGTCTCAGGATACTCATCTGGCACTATCTAACACAGGTCTGCGGCTTTTTAACCACACTGACCTTTCTTCTCAGCCTCTTTCACATCACTGCCTCCCCTTAGTCCGACACACCATATAATTTTAACTGGTGACATATGCAGATTTATTTTCTCCAGCTGGGACATTCCTCACTCCAGACTCTCTACGTTTCCCATGTCCGAGGAGGAACCAGAGGGAGAAAACCAGGACAGTGGCCCAGACGAGGCCTCTACTCCTCTCTCAGGGACGATTCCGGTCCGTCCAGCCCCAACTCCCTCGGTGCTTCATAAATGTCACTTTACTTGATAGCAGCCCCTCCGCTATGAGATAGTCGTACAACGATATGTTGATTTAATCGGGTTTCTGTATGAAGATGAACCTTGTTGACACAGTTCAGTGAAACAGCTGGGTCTAGATTTACAAGGCCAACAACTTCTCACAGGGGCAAAATAACAACATCTGACTGTGGAGTTGTACCCATAATTAAATCAGGTCAAGCCGGGAGACACTTAAAAAAAACGGCTGAAATATTCTGTGTTGTGCGGTGCATTAATGCATGACGCCATCTATGCTTAATATGTGGAGGAAAAAAAAATTAAGGTAAAATATGGCTTCCAGGATTATAAAACATCACAGATTTCCACTGACACTCGTTAGAGAGAATAAACTCTAATGAACAGTGGAACTGTCAGTGACTCTGAATTAAAAACATCAAAGAGAATAAGCATGCGCAGACCAGGAGGCTGCAGAAGAGCCTCGAAAGTAGGAAGGGGGTTGTGGGATATTATACGAGCTCTCAGATGTGTTTGTCTTGGCGTAGCCTCTCAGTGATGTCATCATCATCATCATCATCATCATCATCATCATCGTCATCATGGCTGTTGCTCCACTTCTTTGGCCCAGTAAATGACGACAGCACACACAACCAGCTCTTGGGCAAGAGTTCCTCAGAGATCAGAAGATGCTCTTATTACTGTAAGTGCTTCAGTCAGTGTTAAATGTTAATGTTCAGGACGAAGCTTTCAAATTGGGTCTGGTGAGCAGATGCTGTCAGACCGGATAGAGAGAAAGGGGATCACCAAAGAAAATAACTGTGCGGCTGAGGCACACTTATGAACATTCATTAAACAAAGCGTTCAGCGTTAACTCCAAACAGTTTCTGGCAAATTAAAAAGGTACATGGGAAAATCGAATTACCCCCTTTAAGCCAAGCGTTAACAGAAACGTTTGACATTTCAAAATCTCACAAACAAAGCTGAGAGGGGAGCCGGAACTTAAGACATCCACAGTTCTCAAGAACACTTTCGTGACGATAGGTTTGGCCAGAAGCCACATCACAAGAAAAAAATAAAAAATAAAAAAATTTCCTATGCAACTTTTTTTTTTTCCCTCTGTCAAAACTTTTTAATACTTATCTAATTTATGTAGACAGTGAACAAATGGGAAAGGCACCGAATGCTATGTGAATGACAAAATGATGAGCTGGTTCGACTCGTTATCGCTCAGTGATGTGCAAGCCCAGATAACTCAAAGAGAATAGATTCAAATGTGTAACCAGTGTGTAGATAAGAAAAGGGGGGGGGGGGTGACAGGGACGCAGCGTGTTTGTGCTGAGCTCTCTACTGAGTTGTGCAAGCTGCTGCCTGTAAGTCGCTGCTTGCATGGAAAATGAGATTCAGCTCTGGATTGCTAAAGTGAATTTCCCCAGTGGGGGTAAGCAAGGTGAAAAGTGAAGTGTGAAGCATCTCTTGTTGATGCACATACTTGACTATTGCCTGTGTGGTCCACTGGATACAGAACATACCACTTCATCCTCACATACACAGAGAAACCAATCAAACATCTCAATTCTCACTTTTGGAAATCTGAAAAAAAAAAAAAATTGCTTCTGAAATTTACTTGACATTCTTGCTGCGAAAGGCAAGAGACTGGCCTCCAGCCACGACTCTGCCTTCCCTCCACATTCACACACAGTCAGAGGTGGTGCCAAGACCCAGCGAGGAGATCGTTAGATTGGGAGAAGAAGGGGAGAAAGTGAGGGAGAGCAAGAACAGCGGGAGGGAGGCTGGAGTAGGGGGACTCTTGTGGACAAAGGGGGTTAGAAAAAGAGGGAGTAAAGTCAAGAAAAGGGAGGGAGAGGGGAGACAGAGAGGTGCTGAGTGAGCATGGTCCTATGTGTGTGTGAGGAGTGTGTTTATGCTTCTGATGTGTACTCAAAGAGAGGCAGATACAAACAGGAAGAATCAGACTGACAAACAAATGTCAAGCAGTCGTAAGAACTTGTAAAGAAGCCCCATATTTATATGACTTTTCAACACATCATATGTTCATAATCACGTTCTGTTATGAATCGAAGTGCATGTGTATGGTTGTAGGAAGTCAACACAAACAAAGAAAGAGTCCACTCACCACTTTCGCTCTTCTCAATCACGTCCACCGTCTCACCGGCCTTGAGGCTGATCTCTGAGTTCTCCTGCCTCTCATAGTTGGCCACGGCCACGTACTGCTCCAGCACCATGGGCTCCGAGCTGTCAGTCCCTGAGGGGAAGAAACAGGCTGTCAGCCACCTGCCCGCCGTGGCACCCCGCGAACGCCCACTGCAACCGACTACACTGCTGCCGCTGCTGCTGTGCGCCCGGTACGCCGCCATCGGCCAACCCCCCGCTCCCTGCCACCGCTGTTCCTCCTCCCTGGCCAATCAGAACGCGAGCTCACGACTTGGCTGCATAGTCCCAAATGTCTGGCCATATAGCTGAGTCGACCCCCGGCCCACAGCGAAGGGCTGAGGAGCATCGGAAGGAATCAAAACAAAAGGAGGGAGCGCGTAGAAATCGTTTGTTGGGGCTGCATCTTGCCTCTAAAGCGGATCCATGACCTGAACAAAACTTTTTAAGATCCAGACGAAAAGATGGAGAGGGGAAAAAGAGAAAAAAAAAAAAAAAAAAAAAGGAGAAGTAGAGGAGCGGCTAACGACTGGACGGGAAGAGTGGGGAGCGAATGAGTGGAAGAATGGTGAAGTTTCCCTGTGGAAAATCAACAGTGCGGTTGAGAGGAAAGGCCTCCCCTCCACTGCCGCTGGGAGCCAGCCGTTGGACAGGGAGTCGGGAGGGGGGGTGAACACACCAATCATGGTAGTCGGCACTGCTGGCCTTAAATAGAAACATATGAGTGGACTAGAGAGAGAGAGAGAGAGAGACAGAGGGAAACAGGGAAGGAGGTTGGGACCATGTTTATGTGAAACAAAAGAAGAAAGCATTTCAGTTGGGGTTAGGCCACTCTGTTTTCTCTCTCTCCTGCTCTCTGATGTTTAACCTTTTCGACGCCAGCGGTGATTTCACCCTCTGAGCTCACGTGGTCCGTATCTGATCTGAGCTGCAGACACGCTTGTTTGCTTGTTTTGCACGGAGAAATCACCCATGCAGATTCAGAGGGACGTTTCAGCAGATTAAGCTTCACATCCTGTTGTGCTCTGTTGTTTAAGTATCTCAGCATGTCTCTGTCAACCATGTGATCAGGAACAGAACAAAAATGCACTGAGAACAAATATGTGGAAGTTATGAGGCCAAAAAACACAGATCATTTCTTTATAATGTTAAATAAACCAGATGTTAATATCTGTCCTACAGTTTGTTAAAGAGCTTGTGATTCCTTATATGAGGTGGTTGAAAAGGTGAGTTGCTTTTTAAAGGGATAGTTCAACATTTTGGGAAATATACTCTTTTTGCAAGTAAGATCAACAGCCAGTCTACTGGCAACCTGCACTTCACGCACTGGTTAGGTTGTCCATGTCCTGCACTGTCATCTAACTTTCAGAAAGGAAGCTGAGATAATGTTGAAATATCCCTTTAAAAAAAAAAAAAGCTAGCATTAATTGTGCGTCAAAGTCAAGGTGTGAACCCTGGTCTCCGGTGTCAAAGAAGAATGTGTTCACACATCCATCCACCAACTTTAACTTTGGCACTAAACACTGACAGTGAACAGAGTGTTTTCCTGAAAATCATAACTCACCCTTTGAGGTTGGGCTGGATCTTTAAAATGCTGGACATCTACTTTTTACATTTTATGCCTTTATTAGATTGAACCAGTAGAGACGAATTCAGGGACAGAGTAAGGGAATGATATGCAGCAAACGATCCGACCGGCCAGGGGTTGAACCAGGGGCTCGCTGCTCAGGGAATTTGAGCCCATGCGGTATACGCCCTAACCATTCGCCCATCATGTCGCCCCCCCCCACCCCCCCGGATATCTGCTTTTAAAACGAAAGTCCATGTAGATCACCAGTGTACAAAGTTTAAACATTTGCACCTGTGCTGCAATATGTTGCCACCAATGTCAAATCTTAACAACAAATCCATGCCATCATCACACTGACTGCACGGCTGAATTCAGAAAGAGGCCCATCTGCCGCCGTCAAGCTGTCTCTTAATGGCAACGACAAATCAGTGAATTTACAAAATAGGGCCTTCCAGTGAAAGGAGGAAGTGTTCTAACTCAGGTGACCTGCAGTGTGTTTTCTTAGCAGAAAGTCTCCCGTAGGTTTTCTAAGATTGGATCAGATGTTTAGGGCGAGGGCGGGGGGGGGCAGAGCTGATGAAACGACAGCCAGAGATCTTCCTGAGCAATATTTATATGAAATTAGGCGGGAAGAGGCCATCACCTGGCTAACTGCTGACCCCTACCACAAACACAGACACATTTTAGCACAGAGATGTAGAAGGTGTGTTAAAAAAGACAGTATACATCATACATAAAGGGGAAAACAGCAGCAGCAGTGACACAGTCCAGAAATCATCCAGCTCTGCCTAATTATAATAAAAGTAAATATACTTTGTCTGCAGATCTCTCAGTCTCTCTGCTTCTCACTGCATCTGAGACAGCGCATTCTCTGCAGTTAGCCACTGCAGTCAACATGAATTTTATTGTAGCAGTTAAGCTGTGGATATCCAGCATGTTAGATCTCCCTGTCTTAGAACCTGTGAAGTCTAAGATTAGGTCTGCTGTTTACTATGCAGCTGAAAAGAAAGTTGCTCATCTGAGACTGAAATAAAGAAAAGTTCAGGGAATAACTTGCAGCTAAATACTCTATCTTCACTGTGGCCTTGTAAAAAATTTATGAGAATGAAACAGGTTGCAGCAGCCCAGGAAAAAAGAAAAAAAAGTAGGCAAAAGCATTTGCACAGCGCTTAAAACGTAATTAAGCATCTCTATACGTCGTAACTCAAACAAACAGGCAGGGAACACCAGGGAAAGCTTGTAACCTTACTTCCCCACCGGGTGAGGACGGGTATTCATCTCTGTCTTTCTTTAGCATTCTCCCAGGAGGAGAAATAAAGAAAAAGGAACACATTGCTGAGAATGTCAGCAGCCTATGTGCAGGGAGCGATCAAAGTCAGCCTGAGGTAATAAAGCAGCACAGATCCAGCTATTTAAAAGCTGTATGCAGTTGTAATGGCGGCCACGCCTTGTTGAGAAATACCATGAAGTCTAAAGACCTGTTACACGTCTGCCTTCCATATTCCAATGCTTTTTACTTCACAACATCTCTTGTTGAAATTATGTTGGAAGTTTTTTCCACATACTTTGCACCTGCAAGAAATAGGGTCATCTTTTTTTTCACTTAGTCTGTTCTGAGGGGGATTTGTCTTTGTTGTTCCTAACTCGTACTGACACACTGATAGTTCTAATGGAGGGAAAGCACATATCTGTGTCGTCCCCCAGCAATGCCTCAATTAAAGTTAAATGTCTCAAAAATGTTCACCAGATGGGAAAATCTGTTTTTTTTTTTTTTTGGGGGGGGGGGGGGTTGTATTGTATTTGCGTGTGTTTATATCTGCAGGAAAAGAATGGGATGTTTATTTGCTAGAGAGATAATTTCAATTCCACTCCTCTCTCCACTGATCATCGCTACACACACACAAGTTGAATGAGGTCACAGGTAGTGATCTAAAACCATGCTGCAATCAAATCTAAAGAACCAGACTTGACACCTCATTTCAGTCTAAGGCGCTTGCCACATGTAGACCAAAAGTCCACGTTCTGGCCCTCTGGCACTATGTCCAGCTGTTGTGTCGGCCAACCAGGTCTGCGGAGATGGATGGACAGACTGCAGAGAAAGAGAGGCTGAATTGGAGCAGATGGGGGGGGGGGGGGAGGATGACAGCGCATGCAAAGCAGATGTCGAGGAGAAAGCTGAAGTGTGAAAAGAAACAAACAGGGAAAAAAAAAAAAACTAACGGGATGCAGCTGGCATGTTGCGCTCGCACAAGCACAGTAGTCCATGCATATTGAACATGTTGACAAAGACACACAAGGCTACCTGAGGCCTCTTTCCTCGGGCTGTCTGTAAAGCCGTACATCCATACTGCAGAAGAAGAGAAGGAAGAAGAGAAGCAGACAGAGATTATTCAGTTTGACAGCATGCAGAAGCAAAAGTATGGTAGAGCAAAACCTTTAGACCTTCACACTCCTGCAAATTTAGCACTAGGTTCAAAGTTGGGGGCCTTTACTCATGACTGGCCATGCCTTTGATGCACAAAGTCATGGCCTGTGTTTCAAGCTCAGTGTTTCCTCCATGCTGAAGTGCACCTGAGCGCAAGAACATGTTTTGGCACTGTGCATGACAAACACCTCTTCCATTTTTAATCTCTTACTCAAACCCTCCCTGCCTCAGACGGCGAGACACTCCCCTTTCTTCCATCTATTCATATATTTCCCCATTTCTCCCACCCCTCTATCAACCTCCTGTAATGTCTGAGAAGGCCGCAGCCACTTCTAAAGACATTGCTGACTGCCCACCCCCCCCTATCTTGAAAAAAACATCTCAGCCCCCCAACCAGGAAATTAGACGCCATGCATCAGAGAAGACAGCGACAGGAGGAGGTGGTGACCAAAGAATCCAGAGGCTGCCTTGATACATTTCGAGGAAGCCACAATTTGAAGCTTGATTTGAGATCTATCAGAGCAAAATAATATTTTAGTGCCTGGCTGTTCATCTTTTCCTGGAAGTGAGCCAGCGGTCGGCCTACAGCACTCCCTGAGAAACAGGCCAAAACAATGTGAAGGAACTGGAACCAGGAGCTGGGCAGGGAGGGCTACTGAGACTAAGCAGGAATGTCCTCTACAACGCCACACTGGAGTTGAAAAAAAACAACACACCACTAGAAATGTCCATCATTATCTTTGCTTGTATTTGTCTGAGAATTGTGCTTTGCTTATATTTTGTTTAAATAAATCAGTGCTAATGATACAGTCTATCTTTTTTTTCCAATCAATTTCAGCATCAGCTTTGTTTCATATATGTGAAATCAGTTAAAATGTCTCAGCCCGCTGGCATTTTAACGTCATAGGCATGATCTTGAACAGTGGCTGGTGTGTATGGACTTTTGTAGTATAAACAGGTGAAATGGGATATTCTCTCTCAAACAGAGAGCCCCAAGGACAAGGAGAACGAACACACCATAACTACATCATCTCACCGATTTTACTGATAAAAAATTCTATAGAATTTAACAGCCAATCACAGCCTCAGAAAGTAAAATTACGCTGAAAGTAGTTGCATGAAAAACTAAACCTGTTAAATTACAGTTCATTACAACTAAACAGCAAATGTGTCTTGTAGGAAATGTAATCATTGGCTCGATTATGCACAGAGGCAACATACTTATCAATTAAGTGGCACAATTATTTACGGCAGGATTTGGTTGGAGCGGGTTGTGGGTGTATAAGGTGTATGACTGTCACAGAGACCGGGGCTGGCTCCTGTGTGGTCAGGGTTAGGCAACAAAAGCCTTTTGGTTAAGAATAGGTAGTCTACATCTGCGCCAGTGGTTGCATGAGGCTGTACTTAGGCACAGTAGTGCTGTGAACTCAATACTAACCTAGAATGCTAACATGCTCATAACGACAATACTAACATGCTGATGTTAACGGGTATAATGTTTACCACGTTCACCATCTTAGTTTGTCTTGTTATAATGTATATTATGATTTAGCACTATACAAATAAAACTGAATTGAATTGAATTGTTAGCATGCTAATACTTGCTAATTAGCGCTAAATACAAAGTACATCTGAGGCTGATGGGAGTGTCATTAGTTTTGCAGATATTTAGTCATAAACCAAAGTCAAATTTCGACCTGCTGGTGGCACTAGAGAGAAAGTCTGTCTCTGTGGTCCATGAATGTGCCAAGATGTGAGCTAGTGTGTGTTGTAGTGATATTACACTGGATAAGCTGAAACCTCGATCTGCTGTTGGCGCTACAGGAAAAGTCCGGGGATCATAAATGTCTGAACAACATTTTATGGCAATCCAGTCTTTCAATCTGGACCAACCTGCATCCTTAGTTTCATGCCACTAGTTAAAAAGAGTTATAACATGAGTTATATTTCCCAAACTAGGTCTCAATACTGAAACTGAACAGTCACACCCCGCCCTATTTGTCACATTAAATATCTTTGCTAAAACTTTATCAAACGGTTGAAAAAACCCCACACAAAAGTGTCTTCATCCAATCTGGACATCCTTTAGTTGAGCTTTTGTATGGCTTTTTTCGGTGTCAATTCAATGTATTTGCTAAGTCTAATTCACTGTTGTCGCATACAAATCATCGACAAATTTTTCTATGCAGATACCATAGTCCTTATATTTATGTTACTGTATACAGACGCAGGAATGGTTAAGGTAAATGGGTAATGTTTTGAAAAAGTACTTGTCACCACAGGTTTTGTTTGCACTCAGATTGGCCACATCTCTTTTTAACTCTAGTGAGCATGAAAACATTCAAATCCCATTTTGAAAAATAGACAGCAATCAATCAAAGAGGGCTGTTTCCTAAATAATCAACTTTCTTTTGAAGAGACCAGGTTTTTATACTTCATGAAGGATCATTCTGTACTGGATCCTGGTGAGTGCTGCCCCCGCTGAGAAGCCAACAGCTCCTCTCCGTTGCCTCATGTGAGATAATAAAAGCCAAATCCCCCCCTCACTATCCATCAGAACCTCGGGAGCTTTGCTGGATTGATGTTGGCCCCAGAGGGAGCGATACGGGCTGGTCCCAGGTCAGCCAGGGTCAAAGCCCTCTCTCTAACGCCCTACCATGATTATTACCCGCCCGTATGCGCAGTGTAGTGCTCAACATCTGATTGATATTAGCTCTCCTCTCCACTCTGGGTTCTCTGTGTTAACCCACCAACCCCCCTCCGTACAAACACACGCATACAGATGCTTAATTCCTTTCAGGTTTGGGTGATGACGTCACAGACCAGCAGAAGCAGCAGTGTTTTCTCAGTCCCTCTGCTGCTGTGGGTAATCTTCCTTGAAATTCTGACCCCAAACGTCTACATTACCCTGCAATTAAGGGCCTAGGGACAGTGAAAAATGGCATCTGTAAAATCCTGCTCCCTAGGTTTGGATTGGTGCGGCTTATTAGCCATCTATCTTAGTTTTTTCTATTGACTTGGTAAAACAAACCACTTTCCATCAACAAGCTAAGACCTGCGGTCCGAGGACTGTAAGACGTGAAGCGTTTGTTGTGGCTGCTCAGTGTAATTTAATGTCTATATGTGGCATTTTTGAAGCTTTGCACTTCACATGAACTAGTTGATGCTGAAATCTGAAGACACTCCCTGATTTTGCTATAGGTGCCACCAAATCCCAGACTTCCTTTCAGATGTTTCAAACCCGAAGCTGCACTGAATCTCCAAGCAGCCGGGCAGACGTAGCCTGGTTTGTTCCTTTGAAGCAAAAGTACTGAATCTTCTCTCTTGTGAGAGGCAGCAATAAGTCTCCATCATGTCTAGTCAATAATGTCCTACATTATTTGAAGGACCCAGTCAAATATACTGAATGTACCAATACACCTTTTGAGGGAATGCTTAATAATTTGAGGGCACATCGGTCTTACCAACAAGACTACGAGTCTACAGCACTTTGGTACTTTGACCTAATTGCTAATATTGAAAATGAGACAATGTTAACATGTTTAGCAGGAACAATGATTATCGATGGACCAATATGAAATATATTTGCTGAGATTATTTGTATATATGTTAGCTGATAAGTAACAAGGAACTGCAGCAGCAAAACTAGCAGCAAACTAGGTTTGAGGTCATTTATTAAGTATCTTGGTAACAATCCTAAAGACACAAATCTATGAATTCTGTATCGAGATTATTTATGTTATGTGTTTTATTTTTAATGAAATACTATTGGTTGATATACTGTAGCCTGCTGTTATCAGATTTTTTTTTTAACTCCAAAATATCAATATCAGTATCATCTTAATAAATCCAGCATCAGTGGGGCAGCATATAGTGACGTTTCGTTCAGTGTGTTGGCAGCATGAAACACACTGATGGAAATACAATCTGTTTTGCAGGTATATAGGTATGAATCAAAATATTGTACAAACTGAGATTTTAACCTGATGATGCTCGATTAGGATCGTCACAGTTTTTACATTTATTCCTGAGGAGTTCACGAACATCTGCACCAAAGTTCAATTCAATCCGTTCAACAGTAATCAAAGTCCATCTTCCTCTCGGCACCACGCATGGCTGCACAAAACTGCACTGAAATCCACGTCAAGATATTTCAGCCCTTTGTGCCCCAACGCACTGACATCATCATCATCCCTAAAGATACATTGCTAGTGTGGCTAAACATTTCAGCACCTGGTATTTACTGGGCTATACAAGTTTTAAAACATTTATAGTAAGAAGGGAGTCCCATACACAACCAAATCCCAGGACTTGGGGGGGGGGGGGGGGGGGGCACTGTAACAACATCAGGGGCATTGTCCTTCAATAGTGTGACAGATAAAGAGAATGAAAGGCAAAGCTGAAAGAGGAGGATAGGTGAAGATAGAGAATGATAAAAAAGAAGCAGAGGCATCTGACTCTGCAGGCTTCAAATTCCATGGTTTGATCTGGCCTTATGAAATATCAAGCATCACAATTCTCTGCTTTTAAATACTTAACCCTGCGCTCAAGAACGTAGAATCACAACCTGATGAGTCAATGATCAAAAAAAAAAAAGCCTGACAGAACATCCAACCCCATGATGGCAGTGAGCTGAAGCTGCTGCTGCCACACACACACACACACACACACACACACACACACACACACACACACACACAGTCAGGAGTTTTAATGATAAACCCTCTTCACCTGACACCAAGACAAAGGTGACCAATAACAAATTACAGCTAACCAGTATTGATCCAGCACTTGTGAAAAAGCACAGCGGCAGAGAGTGACACCAACACTAACAATGTCAAACCACAGGCTGAAGCTAACTAGTATTGATACAGTGTTTAGCAAGAGGAGGAGAGAAGAGCAGAGGCAGTAACAATTTATCTCTGACTGTGTCACAACGTTTCGCAGTGACAAATGACATCTGTGTGCAAACAGTGTGTTGGGAGGGAGGGAGGGAGGGAGGGAGGGGTGTGGGGGGTGGGGTAACGGGTGATGGGCCGTCGGCAATGACAAACAGCTCCCAGTCCCAGCTGGGAGAGGGACACGGCGTGGGCACTCGTGTCAGGGTGGGGTGAAAATCGCAGGCCACTCTCCCTTCTTCCTGTTCCCTCACTCTCTGCTTCACTGTGTCTGCGCTCTGAATCACCTCACACTGTAGTTTCTGCTTTGGATGAGCCACAGAGTTACAACACCATCACACCCCAGGAATAACTCTTACTGCTCATACTGTCATACTGAGATTGCGATGCCTCATTGCTATAAAGCTGGAAAAGACAATTATCATTTTTCTGCCTAAATCAATATTCACTTTAATGTGTCGTCAACACTGATGTGAGAAGAGTGGGCTGACATTATAATTGCTGCAATTAAGTGCTCAGTGCAATGGTAAATGTGTAAAAGTCGACACAGAGAAGAGTTTTATTCTTACGGGTTCTTATATGGAGGCAGGTAATGGACGGTGTAAGTGTCATATAAATGTGTCTCTGACAGAGGAGCTCCTGATGGTACAAACAACAGCCTGGCTCTAAAATCCTAATTAGCACTGACAGCTTAACAGATATGTACACACGCACACACACGCACACACACACACACACACACACACACAAACTGTCCCTGTCCACTAAACCTAGGCTTGTAAAAACACTAACACACACGCATAAAGACACAGTCCTCCTCCCTCCTCCAAGTAAATACGACCGGCCATTCCAACATGAGTCTGAAATCCTATCCACTGTGCCACGTAAACAAACTTGTGCTTGTCTGACAGTCTCAACCCCTGTGGCCTCTGCAGACCAAACAGCACCCTCCTTCGTTCCCTCTGAATCTGGCCCTCACATGGAGGGATATGAGCTCCATCTGCACTCTGCAGAGCAGGGGAGTAGTGCAGAGACATGACCCCTGAAACTCCCCGGACCCGACCGTACTTTAAAAAAAAACATGTCTGACATCCTTGTCCCCTGCTAACTTGAAGTGAGATGAATCAGTGTTTTCTGTCAGGAGGTATTACAATGACTGTATATGTAGATGGGCGAGGGGTTTGTGCCCCCTCCCGCTGTACAAAAATGAAGCCACAATATCACGGACACGGGCGCTGCCATCTTCCACTGGCGACACCTTCTGGAAAAAGAGTCTGCACAGTGGTGATCAGCCGGTGAAGCTGTGGTATGGAGGTCCCACCCGTACACCCGTCCCACCCAATAGAGAGGCAATCACAGCTGTCAATCATGACCTCACACTCCCGTTTTGGAGCATCAAAGACTAATCAAAACAAAGCTTATCATTAACATGACCACTTGAACCTGCATTAGCTTGATAAGAGCTACCTAAAATGACAGAAATATCTTTGGGGAAAAAATTCATTTGACGTGTTCCTTGATGTTGTTGGAGAGCTGTGATGTCCTCCACCTTTATATACAGTCATTGGAAGGAAAAACGGAAGAACAAGCATTCCTCTTTTAAAGTCATAATTCCTCTGAACTATTGGGTGTAGCACTGCGCTAGTGACAGACCAGGTTTTTGCTGGCCAACTGTGCAATTGTTTTGCAATGCCTCAAGACAGCAATGTACCAACAATACACCCACCCACGTCTCATTTCTAAGACTTTATCCACAATAATACGTTTTAGTTTTAAAACACATCACTTTTGATGGGTTTACACCTGGCGTCCACTCTACTCTGGAGTTTTTCAGCCCCTAAAACACTTTTAGAAACGTTGCTGAGCCTGTTTTAGCTGTTGTAGTCTGGACGGGCAAAAACCGAATGCAACACTGATAACGCGTTACAAGTGTTGCTGGTCTTGTTATATTTGCTTGCAGCCGTTGTGCAGTCAAGTTCTGCATTTTATAACGCTACAGGTGCCTTTGCTGTTGCTCGATTGTAGTATTTTCTGCAACTAACCAACTGCAGAGTCGACAATCTCCTTGTTGTTTACACCGGGACACGCATGCCCAGGTCATGTGACATGAGTTTCGGGTGCGTTAGTGTGGATAAAGGTTATTTCTGTTACGCAGCTAAAACGCTTGCCTGGACAGAGATCGTTCTCATTTTATAACAGAAATGTATTAGTGTGGAAGTGGAAGACCAACACACCCAATGGTCGCTGAGATGGGTGCAAGTGCATTTGTAATTTATAAAACATGTGCACTGGACAAGAAAATGACAAACTGGGTCAATCTGAAACCAGAAACAATGCTCATCCACCAGAACCGAACCAGAATCTGTTGCTTATTTGTCCACCTCTCTCCGACTAACTTGATATTACACAAGAGCGAGTCAGCAAATCCAAGTTTACATGTGGTGTTCAAAACATTCGATGTTTCTTGAGAAAAGCGCTCTGGTGAAGTGGAAGTGATGCTTCTCACATTTCCAGCTGCCGCAACCGTTTGTTTGGTTTGAAGAAAAGAACAGCAGGGTAGATGTTGAAAGCAGCAACAGTCATCGAAATAAAGAAACACCTCGCAAAGCAACTTATAAGAATCAGCATACACAATCAATTTCTCTTCGAGGGTTAGAGAAGAAGATTGTTATCAGCTTCATAGTTGTGCATTAAGTATGGAGGGGAGGTCGGGACACAGTTAGTCTAGATTAGCATAACGACTGGTGATAGAGAAAACAGCTGGACTGACTGAGGGTTGCCTGATGCGGTTAGTGAACACAGGCTTTAGTTTATGTCAAGGTACCAAACTTGGCAACCTCAGTGCACAGACGAGATGCTGTGATGCTTCTTCCCATGACCAGCACGATTGAAAATGCTGAACTATTCCTTTAAACTTCAAAACAGACAGCAATGGAAATTTTGAATACAAGTACTGGAGTGGACAGTTTGAACAACAGTGAACAGCGAAAGGAAAAACAAGACTTAACTCTACACTAACAGCTATGATTATATGGTAGCAAGTAAGCAGCAGCAAACCACATCTCAGTGATTTACACTGAGAGCAGCAACACACAGAAAAACACATCTTTCTTTTAGTATGTAATATACTTCATGTAACATTCACCACTTCTAAATACAACTGTATTTATTTTTACAATTGTATTTAGATTTAAACTGTTCATAGTCGTCACGGTTACAGTGATACAGAGGTCATAGCTGAGATCACTGGGTCAGTGGAGTGGCGTCTGACGGGGCGACATCCCAAACACTGAGGTTAGGCCGACACAAGGGCTACGAAAGCCACCTGTTTCAAAGCTCAGTAATGTGCTACACTGAGGGCACGTGGGGAGAAAACACAAGCTGGCTTATGTGAAAAAGCAATCAGCTTCCGAGATATCAAATCACTTTGAGGAATGTGGCTGTAATTGAATTGGTAGTGAATTCTCTAGGTGACTACAACAGACAGGTTCATTGCAGGAGGATCAGAGGCCTTCAGTCCAAAAATAAAATCACCATCAATTTCAAGAGTTGTTTTCTCAGGGTAATCACCATAACCTTTCACAAAACTTTTATGTACGAGGGGCTGCAACATAATAACTGGTGTTTCTTTCATTGTTGTACCCCTACCTACACAACGTTTATGCTACTTAAATATAAGACAAAGAAGTCTTTTAGGTCATCTGCAGCAAGAGAATCATATTCTCCATTACCCAAAAGCTATTTCCTGCATTTTCCCTTCAGTAATTCAGAAGAGGTATGACTGATATTTCCCGACACTTCCTCAGTCTAGCTATACCACTAAACAAACACAGTTCCAAGATGCATATATTACTGACTCACATGTACCAATGCTTTTGTTAAGCTGCTATACTGTAGCTAATTCCACTCTAAGAGCCATACATTTGCTAAGATGGATAATGAGGCTAAAGATCTGTGACAGTAAGGGATGGGTGAATAGTCTTATAGTCAAATAAGCCAGTTATTGGCCTGTGCCACTGAATTCACATGTTGGAACTGGTCCAGGACCTGTCTATGATTGGATATTTTGTGCTCTATTATATTGAATTGCATGTGTGGCATCCAATAGATATATTACAGCTTTTATTCACCTCTTGACATCCCAGGAAATTAAACCACACAGACAAAGATAAGACCAAAGACCCTAACAAAACATGTACCTTCCAAAGCATCTCTTAGAGAGTTAGAGGACCATCATTCTGCCTTCATTATTAAATTATCAGCAAAACTACACATATCATACAAAAACCCACATCCAGAACTGGAGTTGAAGGCTAAGGACTTATTGCCACAACAGAGAATAAGACTTTCCCTCAACAGGATGTTAGTTAACGACTCTATTTTGACATCCCAAAAAAATTATCAGGCGATTCTGAGACCCCACCCTGGACTGCAAGGCAAATCCACGGCCAAAAGGAGAGGGCTTGACAGCTTTCTGAACACACCCCAAGATACAGTAGACAGTGTCAGCGTCCCGCAGCAGGACAAGTAAACAAACCAAGCACTGACATCACATATATAACAGACAAGTCACGCAGAGGGTTTAAAAGTCAGCGTTAACGTCCTGCCTTGACTGTTAGGGAGCGGTTTTATTAAGAGCAACAAGTTGAGAAAGAAAGGAGGATGAAGTTAGCTTAAGGGAAGGATAGCCAAAAAACAGATGACTTACCCGTCTTGCGCTTGGAGCCATAGTCCCTGAGGGAGAAGCAACACAAGAGGGACATGGTTAGTGACAGCGGACGCCGCTCGGTCAACAACAAAGCATGCAGTCACAGCATGTGGGTTCAGATACTCCTGGATGGCAGAAAACCGACAACTGCACTCACACAGAAACACATGCATGCAGTCGGCTTTAGCACACTAACAAATGCATGTGTTTGAGGGGTGAGAGAGAGAGAGAGACAGAGAGTGAAGGATGGATATAGAGGGAGGAATGACTTTGGCCAGCTGCCCATACTCCCTGCAACAGACACAAATTAGTCATGTGACTCTAAAGCGGCACCACCATCCTCTTCCTATACTTGTTCTCTTCCTCCCTCCTTCCCTCCCTCCCTCCCTCCTTCCCTCCCTCCCTCCTCTCTTGGCCCTGTCAGAGAAGAAGTCGACCTCTCCCCACATTTGAAAGAAAGAGGATCAATTTAAGTTCCCTTGCTTAATGGATTCTAATGGGATTATGCCACAGGGCTGAGCTATAGATGGGGGGGGTGACACGGAGTTGTGTGTGAGGTTTACAGTGCTGAGACATGTCTGTTTCTGCCCTTGTCAATAATGACTCTCGGACTCAGGCGGTGTGGCAATTGGGTTAAAAAAGACAGACGGAGGGAGAGATCAGGTGAAGACATAACGTGCTATTTATAGAAACGCAGACCTGACAATCTGACCATCGTCAATCCCCATTCTCCCTCCCTTTCTTCCTTCCCCCCTCATGGTCTTTTTCTCTTGCGGTGTGTGCACAATCACTCTGTCCTTTTCAGGTTTCCCAAGGGCTAATCAAAACTCTCATCTAACCTCAAGTTCAGCCACGTCATCCTGCTGCAGTACAGCTGAAAATCAGACGCAGGCAGGGCAATAAAACTGAAGCACAGAGCTGAAGTGAAGAGCCGAATCCCACTAGAACTGTTTAAAAAAGAACTACCATATAGGCAGTAACATCAACAACAAGAAGGGATATAGAGAGCAGAGAGTGTAGTGGTTTCTTAATGAGTGATAGCAACATGACTCAACATTTTCAAGAGATGTATCGGAGTGCAACTGATGACTGACGGTACGTTTCAGGATATGAGAGGGGTGTGTGTGAGGTGGGTAGGTGTACGTAGGCGCATCTGTGCGTGTGTGAAGTAGCATGACAGTGGATGTAAATGGTCGTTGTTGTTCCTCTAAATTCCCTTTTATACTGGTCAACAAACATGCTAACAATCGTTAACACCTGGCTTTTGTCTGCAATGTGAAAGGCTACACTCTGCATTCACTCCCAGGTGGAATGACTCTGCCGTAGACGCGGGTATTCATCAGCTCCAGTTCCAATCTGCAGAGATGTAAACAAGCAGCCGGGTGAACACACTAACTTTCACCCTTTCTCCGTGATGTGATGTCTTTCAGAGAGCAGAGACTGTGAACAGACCTGCCACCTGTCCAACAATGCGGCTACAGCCTCCATTATACGCTCACGTTTTAAAAACATACAGCCGCCGACCAAAGACCTCAGACACCTACAGGAGCGCCGACCCGGGGACGAGATGCGGTAGATCCATCTGTGACTGCCTGTGGTGACACCGCTACCTGCAGGCGTGTGTCTGTGTCCTCTCGGTCTGAATACAAAGGCAAACTCGTCTGGCGTGTGAAAGGAGTGCATGTCAGTGGGTTTAGAAATCCACTTATACGCACTAATGTTGGTGTAAAAAGGTTAGAAGATTCAGAGTGAACAACCCATCTGCGAGAGCCTCCTTGATTGGGACGGCTGACCTGGCTGGTCCCTGTGAAACAGCCCATTTCTTTAATGAGGGACCTCTCATCTTGTCAGAGCAAACAGGCCCGCAACATTATACTGCAGTGCCAGGAGAGCAGGAAGCGCTCAGGGCAGCGCAAGTCAAGGTAGTGCCCTCTCTCTGCATGAGGTCACTGAAAACCTGCACTTGCTCTCACTGCGACTGCACTCAAGCTAATAAAGAGACAAATCTTCATGTACGGTGGCCACGCGCGCGCGAATGCACGCGGACACACACGTGCTCTACAAGAGACAGCGTAAGGGCAGACGGACAAGACAGCACACATGCGCGAGCAAAGGCCGCGTCTCATTTAAAGACACAACAGCTCCGTCTTCTTCAGTGTCACCATGCTCGTGCTATAGCTCTCTTTTTCTCCATCCCTTCATCCATTCCCCTGTGATCTAATGTATCTGTCTCTTTGTGACCGGCCACAGCAGATGAATAAAGCCTTTATACCGACCTCCCCACCAAGAGCGCTGTGTGCGAGCAATCAGAATATGCTTCATTGTCACCAAAGTGGGACACGGAGAGCAGAGCTTGACCCCTCGCCTCATCCCATCCATCTCGAGCCATGCTGGACACACAACCTCTAATACATGTGGCATGGATAACATTCAAGTCAGTGGCCAACGACTTTCAGTAAATTGTGCCACAGAGTGTCTGGATGTGTCTCAGTGGAAACTACGCTGTGGACAGATCAAGCCTTAGAGTTGGCAAGACGTTTGCCCTTTTTACTCCGGGCTTGCCGAGGTGGCATTAAAGATGATGATATTCTCTGTTCAAGCACAAGGGGAATGTTTTATACTTCCAGGGAATGTTAACTGCTGTACTCGAGTTTCCATTCACCTAGTACAGGCTACTTCTCAATCTTCAATTCTCAATCTTTTGCTGGTTCAAACATATCGTCAAAAAATAGGTAAAGTAAGAAATAAAATGAGGTTCTACCTTCAATTTTATTCCAAAGCAAGTCTTACTTTCATGTCACAAAACAAATAATTATTTCAGGTGCATCATTAGATTAGGTCATTTTGGAACATAACACAATAAGTAAAGCCCACCTTAACGAGAAGACTTCTATTAATTCCCTCTATTCCTGGTAATTAATTTCTTTTCCCAAAATAAAATACTACTGTGCATTGAGCCTTTAGCCTTCATCCATGTTTTTGTTCTGGTCCACCTGACTTTGAAATTTAACTGGGCAGCATGCATTCAGGTCGTCCGGTCAAGACTCCTCCACCACAGTCTTTACAGCAACAAGCAGGCTCAGCAGCAAGCACTGTTTGCCCCTTTATAAACCTGGCTGCCTGCCTGATTTACTAAGACTAACACTTGGACAAACAGTGGACATGGACAAACAGTGATGAAGCAATTTAAACTTTTTATCCATTTTTCACTCTTTGTATTTGTTTTTTTTCAGCAGTACAGAATCTGGCATGAATAAAGGGAAAAGCCTGTTAATCAAAATACAAGTGACGCAATGCGCAACAGGATCGACCTTCCATCAGCCAAACTACAAACGCAGTTTTAACTGCATGTTGGACGCCTGCTGGATTAACTGAACAAGCAGGAAATGATCTACACAGATTGACAACACAATAGGTGTAAGTGTTGGTCGTGGAAATGGCTGGTTGTAACTTATCAAGGAGGTGAGGACAGGGGCCAATGAATGAGGTTTGTTTGGTGGAAAACAACAGCAGCATGAAAAGTACTTTGCTGTAGCCAACTCCCAGGGAGCCTGTTAAGCTATTCATGCTGTGCATGGTTTGAAAGGCAAACACGACCTCGAAGCTCTATAAACAAGTCCCAGTCAGGAGAAAGGCAGAGGCGTAAGCACTTTTGTGGTCCAACTGTATATTTTTATACAAATAACTCAGCCTTCAAGCGAAGGCCTAAACCAAAGCTGTACTGTATTTGATTCTCTGAGGTTAATTGTTCTTGATACATGATCACACACAGTCACAGGAGATATAGCTGCTGAAGCCCCTTTATTAATCCTCACACGCAGTGGCTGCTGATTGGATCAATAGCATGTGCTTCTGCTGTTGTCATGGAAAGCAGTTCAAAGTAAAGGTTAGCTCGTAGTACGTGTGGGTGGTTGTTAGCATTAAGCATTCACAAAGGGCTTTAGATCAACATGCCGTCATGACATTAGCCCACAAACACAGCTCAGGAGGCAAATATTAGTCAATATAGGCCCATTAGCCAAGCTAGTTCATTACAGTTGAAGCTAATTAGCACCAAAATTAGTTTTGAACAAAAGGAGTCATTATTTATGTAACAAAGTAAAAACAAAATTAGCTAAACTGCTAATATTTAACATTAAATAAGGACACGCCAGCAGGAGTGCAGCTGGCTATTGGCTTTAATTTTAGAGGTATGTTTTTTGGAGGCATCTGCAAATCATTAGGGCACAAAGGAGGAGCAGAGTGGGGCAAAATACAGAGAGAAGGAGGGAGAAAAGAAACGCGGGGTCCAGACTCCATCCAGTGACCCGAGTCACCAAGCCTGAAATCAAACTCTTCCCTCAAGGGCTGAGCAACCAGCTCCAGCTGCCAACTCTTTTCCTTTGTGTCCTAGAGGTGTCGAGAGGAGGAAAGCGATGTGAAGACACTGCAGTGCTGGAGAAAAGGGTATTTTATGTGGCTAGGTGGATTTTTCAAGGCCAGGTTTTGCAGCCAGTAAAGAAATGCTACTCTGGTTGCAATGATAGTATGTTTTTGTAGAGGAGTTACTACCAGTAAAGAACATACAGAATTTCCGAGTCTTGAAGGGATTTGCTGCAAGTGAAGTAAGAAATTTTCATGCTCACATCAATACCATCCAAATGACTTCAAGATCTGTTAGACTGCTATTAGCCCTGGTATCTGGACTGATGCAACAAACAAAATCTGTTTTCCTGTGTTTAAGTAAAAAAAAAACAAAAAAAAACCTTTGACAAATTATTGCATAGACAGATGTTGACTGTTCATGCTCAAACATGCAATTAAAATGTGTATAAATCTGTCAGACATGGTAAGAAAGGTATGTATATCCTGAAAAAAAAAAAAAAAAAAAAAAAAAAAAAAAACACAACATCAACAGATGGGTCAGTGGACCAGAGAGGAACACACACTCACACACACCTTTCAACACACTTCTCATCACATACTGACGTTTCGTCACAGTTTATTCACTGACCACAGCTCCATGAAGCAGGAGCACCTCCATGCA